CTGGTTGTTAGAAAGGCGTTTAGCTTAAACGGTGGATAAGTTCAAAATGTAAATCAAAATGATCTTTTTTTTAACAACTGAGCTGATGTAGATCATTTAATTTTCAATGGAAGTAGTCATATTAAATGTATAAAATGCAGGTTTAGTTATTCACAAGATGTATGAGAGCATTTTTAAACTTTGGCTTATCCACCGTTTAAGCTAAACGCCTTTCGAACAACCGGCCCTAGGGCGCTTATATATATAAGCACACATATATATAGTACCATATATAAGCTATAGCATACATAGTGTACAAGCGCCTTGGTAAAAACAGTTTGGAGATCGTAGAATCAGAAAATCCACACACATGCACCAGAGATAAGCAGTCGAATGTGACAATTACACAATGTGTGACATTTAATTTTCACATACATTATATTAAATCTTCCTTTTTTTTTGAAAACACATTTTTATGCAACAAAATGGAACCATAGATTGATCGTTCACACAGAGTCAGAGGCAATATGTATACCAACAACTAAGTTACCTTAATAACGAGATCAAAATATCCAATTTCATCATCAGAAGTGACAGGAGTGTATGGACGTATCACCAGACTGCCGTTAACCTTCGCACTTAAATACATGTGCTTGCCTAAAATGACAATGAAGACTATTAGGCATTTCTCACTCCCGGGTCTATGTTGTCTGATGAAAAAGAGTAAACGGACGAGATTTTTCTCTAGGAATTGTCTCTTTGGATTTTAACCAAACGAAGTGAATCTTTTCCCGTGCGATCGCGACGTTCTTAGTTGCGTAATCGACTCGCCATTGTTTTAGCAATGCAAAGAAAATTTTAGGAGCCAATCGCCCAGTTTAATTTTTGTCGTAAAATTTTTAATACTGTAATATTGAAAGCAGTTAGATGCATTCTATTCTATTCCCATAGTACTTTAGTGACCCCCGGAAACCTGGTGCCCAGCGCAAATTGTTTTTCAGTGACAGCGTAGCCAGCCCGATCATACTACGGAAATTTTATGTTATAATCATTATAATGCATTTCTTTAGAAATTGATTGTTTTCACAGTCAATGAACACCAAAATATTAGCTATGTAGTATATAGCATTACTACGTAAATTGTCAGGCTGGCTACGTCACTGACACGGTGACACCAGTAGTGATCAGTATCGGATCTCGGCAAAGAATAAGCAATATAAATGAAGAAATTGATGTTAAACTAAATAGTAAGGTAATTAACAAGACAAATTCTGTTAAATCCTTAGGAGTACATATAGACGGTCATCTAACCTGGTTAGTGCATATCGACAATCTTTGTAAAAAGATAGCTTCCGCAATAGGAGCATTAAAACGCATTATAACTTATATTCCAATGAGTACGGCTGTCCAGATTTACCATGCACTAATACAACCTCATTTTGACTATTGCTGCTCGGTCTGGGACGAACTTGGTGAAACGTTAACCAACAAACTACAAAAACTACAGAATCGAGCAGTTAGAGTCATTACGAGGACTAGCTATGACACCAGCGCGGGTGTATTACTCGATGCTCTATATCTGGACAACCTCTCACTGAGACGAAAAAAGTTAAAAATTAACTTGATGTTTAAAACTCTAAAAGGTAATACTCCTAGCTATCTACAGAGGTTTTTTTCAACTCGCAATTCACAATACGATCTCAGAAATTCCGAAATGAAGTTGAATCTTCCTAAGCCACGTACCAATAATTTAAAGCGAAGCTTCCACTATAGCGGAGCATTGCTGTGGAACAGCCTTCCCGAACATATACGAAAATTACAATCATTTTCACAGTTTCGGAGGGCTGTAAACGAGTACTATAATACCTAAACTGAGCTCCCGCACGGCAATCTTGTAAATCAGTGAAATTTTAACTTGTAATATTATGTAATTAGTCATATGTAATCATGTATTGTTAATCCTCCTATAAGTTGTTATACTGAAGATTTTACCGTGTTTTAAATAAATTTGTTTGATTGATTGATTGATTGATAGTAGTTGGTGTCCCCTCCCTATCGGCAGCCGTTGTCCTTTTTGTTCTATTTAATTAGCTGCAATCGGCAATCCCACATGCATTCATAACTAGTTCATCGTAGGACTCATTCTACTAGTGATCGTTCATAACTTAGAGACTTTAAAAACACAGATATACACTATGTACGGTATGCTTAGACTTGAAGTGAATTTCAGATTCTCTTTTCCTTTTCTAGAAAAAAATAGACAGAACTAAAGGGACACTGGCTTGAGAATGCTTTTAATATTAATATCAAAATATATCTAATATCATCGAATTTTTGTAATGCATGATTGAAATTGTGATATAATTTCAGATTATCCTCGAAAGTCTCTTTTATATAGAGTCTGAAAAAATACAGAGTTAGCTATATACCTGAGTCATGCACAGATTAACATCAAGTTGTTAATCTGTGCCTAGGTTGATGACTTAATAACTTTTTTTATTTCTACTTTAGAGAATTTGGAGCTAAGTGTTCAAGTTGTTTGCGAAATATACAAGCCAGTGACTGGGTACGGAAAACAAGAAATAATGTTTATCACTTGGCGTGTTTCTCGTGCGCGGTTTGCGCCAGACAGTTGTCCACAGGGGAGGAGTTCGCGCTTCAAGATACGAGGGTTTACTGCAAGGTCCATTATTGCCAAAACACCGCTAATTGATGGGACTAACCGATAGTTAGCGACTATACCTGTGATAGTTTCTTTAAGCAAGAGAAACCGACAGTTAATGATGTTATTGTCACGCTATTTGAACCGCTTCGTGGTAGTTTGTGTATTTTAGAGGCTTTCCATATCAAAACACTTCGACATGCAATTCAGGCAAACGCCGAGGTCTACCTAGAATTCTAGTTACACATTGAAAACCTTCTACCTTTAAATGTTCATGATTGTAGAGTATTCCAAGTTATGACGAGAGGCATGTATGTGTTGTAAAGGTTATATTTGGTATGAATGCAAGGTCCATTGTTTGTGTACATTACACGATTTTAGACTCACAACTTGCTTTTTAATTCTACTCTAAATAAACACTTTTTTTACTTCGAAATTATGTGGAAATCATGCTTCTTTCCTACAGCAAGAAGTGTGTTTTTCTTTAAGCCTTATTCGGTATAGAAAACACTTCATCTACTTAATGAGAACTGGGAGGAAAAAAGTGGGCGACCCATTTCGCAATTTCGCAACATGTTAAAAATTCGTTTGAACTCACAAAGCAAAGAACTATATACATTTCCACGTATTCAACAGAGTTCTGAGTTAAAATACATGAAATACATTCTGTCCTAAAGCTTTAAATGTAATTCTATTAGCGCATAAACGCTAAATTATTATATACTCAGCTCTTGTCCCGAGAACTTTCAAAATGTCCTGTCTATTTTGCCATGACGTGTCGCCGGCGTAAATACCAAAAGGGAGTACATTGTTTTACTAAACTCACGAAAGCAGCCAAAAGCATTGAAGATGCAATCTCTTCCGTTCATCATGAGCGAAATGTGAGCCCTTTAAGAGCTTGCAAGCGGTTGATACGGATGTTTACAGAAATTTAACCTCCATAAAATCGCACATCAACACGAATTTGGTGTCGTGGACACGTTGTCCTAAACTTTAAACATATGGCAAAGTGATTGTTACGTACTTTATTTAATGTGTTCTCAACGCGTTAGCGAATCGTGTGTGTCTAAAAGCACTATGTTACCGCTATTTACAGAGCTCGACCGCCCGAATGGAACATTAAATGATTTGTTTGATTCTATGTTTACTTCAGCCATTGCTCAAAATCTTTGCAAATATTACAGAATTACAGAAAAAAGCCCTAAAACACGCGGACATTTGTTGGTCATATTTTGAAATAACGCTCGTTATCAACAAGGACATTCCGGCATTTCCTACATGGGTGTTTGGTAGCCGGACACCCCATCCGCCACCTCAAACTGACTCAGGAATACAAATAATTGTACGAAAATTTTACTGCAGAAACAAAAACTCGTATTGATCGTAATAATTAAGGAAAGGTTTGGCTCAATGATTACGATATTTCACGCTAAAAGGTAGTGATAGTTTTTCTAATTTCCACTGCAGTATATATGTTCGAGTAAATAATGGCCAGCGCGCGTGTGACGAGTGAGCTTGTCTCGTATATACTAATAGGCGATGTTAAGACGACTATGGCACAAGTCTGCAAGGAATAAGCGCGCGCGTCTACGAGGCAATGCTGTCAAAGAAGGAAAACAAGTCAAGTCCATTTCAAACAACATTTATTCCGATCGTGTCAATAATGTTTTTAAGGATTGAATAACGTAAGGCGTAATCTATAAATACAATAAGGAAAATAAATACACACACATGCACTGTACATATCAAAACTTGCACCAAAGATACAACAATTTTGGCAGCCATTAAGCTATCATAATGTCTTCCTGCTCCATTCGAGCGCAATTTTCCCTTCCAATTTACACAAATTTACAAACTAAACTTGCTGGACATCGCTATATTATATTACAAACAAATTTATAACGTTCAGATCGCTTTAATACAGGACATTTGAGTTCGTTTCAACTTTCGTCTTCGAGTTTAATCGAGGTTAAATGCATGTTCCTTCGCGGGCCAGCTCATAAATTGACGATTCTATTCAGGATTAGTGGTTGAAATTACGTTTCAAATTTAAAGTTTTGGAGCGATTGCAGAATACCCCGCAATTTTTTAAGTCACTCTTTTTAAATATCACGGATACGTGGATACGCAGTCGGTTGATATTTTAAAGAACGATGCATATGTTAGTAAGGCCATAAGAAATAGATTACGTAATATAAATGTAGGTATTAGTTGAAGTGGATACGCGGATACGTGGATACGCAGTCGGTTAATATTTTAAAGAACGATGCATATGTTAGTAAGGCCATAAGAAATACATGACGTAATATAACTGAAAGTTTAGATTTTATTCATACTGATACTGAAGCTTATATGCAAATTTCCGCTGACCGTATCCACTAAAATATCAAGCTACTCATATATCAATCTCACCGCAATCTCACCGCGTATCCGCGTATCCAGTGAAACAGTAACTAGACTATGTAATATCATTAGTGGAGGGGTATTCTGCAATTTAGCCCAAAGTTTTAAAGATGTTTATGAATAACCAGACAAGGAACAGCTCGAGGATGTATTGATATAGCCACAAGATGGATAATATGGATTGAGATTTGCCTCGGTTGTCATCAGAGATGGCGGTTCGAGTGAGGTTTTCGGCAAACCGAATGAAGACATAGGACTCATGGCCGGCACTGGAGGTGGTGTGGATAGGGAGCTTGTGTGATACGGATTGAAATGCATACCATCGTAGCCTCGGAACTCCATTTCGTGGTCTGCGATGATATTTTTTATTGCAAAAGGATGATTGAATCCGGGTCGAAATCCAGCGTAATGGGTTGGCGCTAAGAATGACGGTGTCGCGAAACTCTTTCCACCTTGTACTTTGGGAACACCAGGGACATACGGACCAGGCTTCACAAGATGACTTAAATTCGGCTTTTTGTCGGCTTTGAAACGTTTCTGCCGTCGCAAATAACAACCATTTTCAAACATATTTCCACAATCAGGATGCAGGGTCCAATACGAGCCTTTCCCAGGTCGATCAGGAGAGCGAGGCACTTTGACAAAACAATCATTGAACGATAAGCTATTTCGTATGGAATTCTGCCACCGTTGTTGATTTGATCTGTAGTAGGGAAATAAGTCCATGATAAATTGATAAATTTCGCTCAAAGTTAGCATCTTGTTGGGACTTTGCTGAATGGCCATAGTTATTAAGCTAATGTAGCTGTACGGCGGCTTCGCGTGAGTAAAATTTCGTCTTGAAGACAATGATTTTTCTTTATCCTTGACTTGGCGCGTCTTAGGATCCAGTGGATCCGTCACAAAATCCTGAGCCAGCACTTGTTCCATCATCTTCAGTACGAATTGATATTTTCAACTATCTACCCCCGCTCTTAGCTCTAACACGTTCGACGATCAACGTTTTCTACGCGCACTTCCTTGGAGCAATTTCTGTTTTAGTACCCCAAGACCACCACGGTTAATCAAGACCACCACGGTTAATCAAGACCACCACGGTTAATCAAGACCACCACGGTTAATCAAGACCACCACGGTTAATCAAGAACGCCACGGTTAATCAAGACCACCACGGTTAATCAAGACCGCCACGGTTAATCAAGACCGACATTGGAAAAGGTGACAATTTCCCATCATCAATGCAATCTTAATAGATGCTGACGCATTTCCTTCTGTTGCCATGTACAATTCTGTGGTAATTGACCAAAGCACAGACTGGTTGCAACAGAAATGGCAAATAAACCACAGTCTGAAGTTCCTTCTTGTTTCTGCAGATCTGTTTCTGCAGATTATAAAGTTATTCCAAGTAACTCTTTATAATAATAATAATAACGGAAACTTTATTTGATGTTTTCTTATTTACATATACTCATACAATTATAAATCTCGCTTAATAAGGTAATATAATTGGCTACTTCAATCACAATTAGGCTAAATATGTTTCTACAATAACGACTATTAAATGATTAGCATGCAAATTTATATATACCTACAAATGGTTCAAAAAGCTAACAATTCTGGATTTCCCCACTCCTTATTTCTACAGCAAAATATATAATAAGTACTTCTGATTGCAATTGTTATCATTTTCCTTATGCAATACGTTTGATGTTTCTTGTCGAGCCCAATCTTATCTAACATATCTAAGAAACACGAGCACTCTTTTGCAAAAACACCCAATGAGCTAATTGACAGATTAATTAATTTAACGTCACTAAAATGCTGTCTTTGTTCTTGTATCAGTTCTCTATATTTATGTTCTTTCCGCTTAACGTTGTTTTGAAGGTTTGTTTCATAGCCAACGGTTAATTCAACCACATAGAGGATGCCATCAGGGTTTGATATTAATAGATCAGGACGATACGATTCACCAGTTAGGATGGACGGATTTTTGAAGCCGGGTAGATCAACAAATAGATTAGAGTGATGAATTGTAGTTTGTACAGTATTGGCAATAAAATTGAGGATCGAGTTGTGCCTCCATGTAAAACGTTCCAGGTAGGTTTGACACCCAGCAACCACATGCAGTAATGATTCTGGGTTGAGACAAAAGGAACATTCTGGACTTGAAGATATTCCCCATGTATGAAGATTTTTTCGCGTGGGAAGAGAGTTGTTGATATATCGTATGGTAAAGTTGTAAATGTTTTTAGGAAGTTTTGTTTGAGCAGATGACCAGACCTTGTTGAGATGTGGTAAGGCGAACTTGGTAATACTTGAGAAGAAGGATCCTTGATTAGTCAGGTGGTTTTGAAGTCTATCTTCATGACCAGAGCGAAACTCTTTTAATACGTCTTTAGTGGAGTTGTATATGTCGTATTGGATATTAGTATGGTTGTTGGTGGATTTCCACAATTCATTAATTGCTTCGTTAGGAGAGTGCTTTAGTGAATTTCGAAGGACGGCTTGGCACTGGGTAAATTTGACAGAAGGAGGGAAGATGCTTTGACCAAATTTATTGCTGGTTAAGTAAACAGTACTTAGCGTTCCTGATATTGGGATATCAAGCCATTTACGAATGTATTGGTTAGCTACAGAGTCAATATTTTCCGAGATCCATGTTTTTGACAGGGTCGCAACGGTGAAATGCCAAGATAGTTTGGACAGAACGTAGCGGCTATAGAGGAGGAGCTTATTTTTAGGGTGAAGTGGTTTTGAGTCAATGTCAGACATCAGTTCATCCATAAGCGTGGTTAACTCGGTTTTATGATCTTTATTAGACATGTTAAAATTAAAATAGCGTCCTAAGTATTTGAAAGAGTCTCCAAGTTTGACGGTTGGTATAAGTCTTTGGTTGATAAGCAGTTTTGGCAGGTATTGTATTGATTTGGTAATAGATTTTTTTATGCCGAATGTACTACATTTATCGACTCGGATTAACATACTCGACCATTGGCACCAGATGGCAAAACGATTTAGCAGATGTTGGTTTTCCGATTCTTGTCCAGTAATTACAGCTGCATCATCAGCAAACTGAAACCAGTGAATGGGATTTAAAAGTTTAAACGAAAAACCAAATTGTGAGAAACAATTAAGACTTCAATAAGCTAATGAGTATAAAAAAAGAGAACAGTCAGAGGAAACTGACAGTGAGCAAAAAACAAGACTTCAAAAAGAAAAGGAGTCTAAAATGAAAAAGCAGTCTGAGGAAACTAATAGTGAGAGAAAAGTGAGACTTCAAAAAGAAAACGAGTGTAAAAAAAGGAGGCGGTCAGACGAAACTGACAAGGAAAGGCAAATAAGACTTGACAAAGACAGATTATCTAAAAAACAAAAGCGGGCAAAGCCGCAACACAGAATAAATCAAGAGGATTACTTCAATTTGTTTGATATAAGCAATAATGGTAGAATTGAGGAGCAATGTTGGGCAAAAGCTCAGTGTACAGTTTGCCATGAGGCATGGCCAATAAAATCTAAACCTAGTTCACCATATGTGTGTTCAGGATGCTTTAGAGATAAAAAATCTCCTAAAAAATTTTCTTGTGAAAACTTGATGATACCTTCTTATGTTCCAGATGAATTACAAAATTTAACTCAGGTTGAGGAAATGTTAATTGCTCGTGCTTTGCCAATCATGAGAGTGTATGTTAAACCTGGTGGTCAACAAGGTTATTCAGGGCATTGTATTAACTTGCCACAAAATGTTACAGAACTTGCAACATCTTTGCCAAGATACCCCAAAGACTTGGCTGTAATTATTGTCAAGGTCAAAGCGCCAATAAACTCATAAAAGTACATTGCTTGCCTCTAGAATGATTACTAAAAAGTTCATCGCCTTGATGGATATCAGCAGAAAAGAAATAAAGCCATACTTACCTGTATATTTTAAAAAACTATTTGTTTTTTTGTTATTTCTGTCCAGTTCGCTTGCCCAAAACTTATTATCTAAAGGCCATGTTACATTATGCAATTTCTATTGCAACTTCAAATGCAAATTTATTGCAAAGATATAAAATTGTGAGTGTTTTTTGCTAATGCTTTAATGAATTTTGACATCTGAAAACAGTAGCCCAACAACAGCAGTACATCACGACCCATGATATAGTGCTATTGTTGTGCCACCTATGCTCAAAATTGCAATTACATTGTATCACCCCAGGTAGCTCAAAAGTATTTGGACACAAATACTTTTCGGCTACCTGAAGTATCACAGAGGAACAATAGACTATTGCTCTATTATTCTTCTGATTGTGTTGAAGTTGCAATTACGTTGCATAACATGTATTTAAGTTGAAGGCAGCAATCTCCTTGTGATAGCAACTCCTAGTAATAAACGTAAAGATCGTTAATTTAGGGTAATTGCCGTAGCTGGATTTGATATATTTCAAGGACTCCTGATCCAGGATTGGTGTACGAGTTATTGGTCCGTGTGCAGTTTCTTGAGCTGGCACCCAATGGAGAGTAAGTTGGACATTAATATTGTGATGATGTACTCCGTGATTCCCACCGTGGTCATGGCCGTCATGCTAATTTTGATGTGGTCTGGTTATGACGTGGTCTGCGATTAGCGGATTTTTCAATTTGTATAAAAGTCCGGCTGTATGCTGTATGTCTCTTTTCAGATATAGTCCATGTTTCGTGAAACATTGCCACGGTAATCTTAAAGCTGGCATCGTCTTACTCCATCAGGTAAGTCAGACATAATTAATTAGCTGTCAACTGCTTTACTAGGACATAACATTAAATTATTTTGCAATATTTCCACTGCTAACTAAAATCCTATTTTTAGGGAATTCAGCGAAGGATTTTAGTTACAATTCTCCATGATAATTACCCAGAAATTAGATGGAAGGGCGTTGCAGAAATATGGCTAGGTTTGTGATTTTCCACTTTTGTTTTGTTTCCACTTAGCGGTAAAACGCCAGCGTGTGAGATTGATGTTCAGTACCTCAGCACAATGTCCGATAGATATTTACAGCCACTTAATTCTATGGACTGAGATATTTTCAATGGTCTTATTTAGAATGTCATGTCGAACCTATGATAAATGTCCCTAAAACCCGCTTTATATTTCCAGGAAATATCCTTCCATTGTCTTTATGTGAATCAGACGGAACCTACCAGATGACGTCATCTGGAGACAACCAATGGCTACCACTCGCTCCAGGCCCTGTCAGTCTTTCTTATCCCGTCGAGTCAATTTCTTTTTTCAAATTTGAAATTCCCTGGGACTCGTCCTTGCATAACTCTAAGCACCTAGACAGGTAGTAAGACGCGATCTAGCTAAACTTGGTCGATAATTAGGGCAACACATGTCGTGATTTCTTTTCAATTGTGATGGATCTACTTTGTAGAGTGACATATCCCGGTGATTTGATCTCAATTCAACTCTACGTTACCCTTCAGGTAAACAAAACAGAAGTATTTCAACCGAGAAAGAGACCCAGAAGATGTGTTTGCACTCAAAAAAATGTTTCGTTGCTTTTTTTAATGTTTACTACCAACGAGTATATTTTTCTACTCTTCAAGCTTGAAGGCTTTGAACAAGCTGTCTCTCTTCAAAAGGAACTCCTTGTGGCGATCTACAACAGGGCATCGAAAACGACGCCTTCAAGGTATTGCGAAACGATGCCTTCAGGTGGTTGAACAAAAAGAATTCGAGTTCAAAAAAATTCATAAAAAGTCGAATTTATATTTGCTCGTATTTCAGATCAATTTGGAGTCAGCTATTTTCTAACAAAACTCCGGATAATCCTGATATGTAAGTGAACGTTGGTATGTCTTGTCTTTGAAAAATACAGATAATAAAAATAATGAAATAGAGAAGAACGTCCGCTCTTGTTTGTTTTATTTATATTTTTATTATTTTGTTCTTATTCGACAAAAATCGCCATCAATCATGGGATTAGAATCGTCCAAATTGTAAATTCTTGTAGTTCTCGTTCAACAACTTTCATCAGATCTTTCTCATAATGACATCAAATGCGGAAAGTCCAATGTTACACCAATTTTGAATGATTCATGAGAAAGATCTATTATCATGCCTCATTTGACCAAAGCTTTGTTGATTTTTTCCATGCAGGAATCAGTGCAGTGGTGTTTATGAATTACTAATTACTCCAATCAGGAATAATGGTAAACCTTATAAGCTTTCAACTTTGACGTTTTTGACATCAAATATTTCAACCAATTGTACCTCATCATTTTCCCGAAATTTCATTCCGTTTCCGCTTCTAGAAGAAGAGGAGAACGCTGCCGCGGCGTACGTTCGGGGTGAGGAAAATATTAAAGATTGGCGGCCAAGAAGCTCTTCGTTAATTGAGGAACATTTCAAGAAACAAAATAAACTACTTTATATTCAAGAGGTAAACTTTTTTTAAGAAATTATGTAGCATAGAAATGTATTGTACAATTGCGCTGCCTGTTAAGGAATTACACGAGAAAAACAGGCAACGCAATTTTGAGAATATAACATAGTGATCAACGGTTCACTTCAGGCGATATAAACTTGCCTTGTAAAATCGTATCAACATTGCAGAGTTGCAAAAAGAGTTCAACCTTCCTCCGGTAGGATTTCAAGATTTGAAAACCTTCCTCAAAATGACGTTACGTCACTGTAGTATTCAGAGCACACGAACAGACTGATGTTTCAGTCATATATATATATTATATTTCAAAATGCTTTACAGCTTGTATTTATAGTCTCAGTTCTAAACCATGCATAACTAATTTATTCATATATAAGACATACATTACTTAATCAACTATACTACATTCCTCCCCAAGTCAGTAATTGTCTCAACCTTAAATTATATATTTATTCTTAAAGGTTCAAAAGAATTCTAACTAATTTTTTTATTGTTGGTTTTTTTCCACGCTGATTACTCTACTTTTACTCTAACTGTTTGATTAGGTATCTTTTATTAAGAATTCGTCTTATACTAAATTTCTAATGTCCAAACGTAATCGTCTAAATGTTTCGGGGGATTTCGATTCCGAGAGGATCTCCTCAACAACTGTTCGTTATTTGGGACTGATACCTTAGTGTTTGACTGCATCGTATTTTGTTGTTTAGGGGCTTCTCCACACATGATTCATTCTAAGTTATCATTTATTTCTTCTTCTGGACTATTTTCTCCACGTTTTGTCTCCAGTTTAATCTTCTTAAAAAAAGACGAGTTTCGAGTCACCTGAAGATCTCCTCTTTGAACAGTGAGCATAGAACCCTTTTTCCTTATCACTTGGTACGGACCAGGTTGGAAGGGAGGTTGCAATTTACCTCGTTTCTGATTTCTCACCAACACAACATCACCTTTCTCTATCTTTGAAGGTTTAGAATGCCGTTGTCGGTTAGCATACAATTTCATCTCGATCTTCGCTTTATCGTCATTAATTTGTAATTCAGCTTTTCTATGCAATTCAGGCTTTCTTGTGTCGACCGTTTCTTTGTTGCTGGTATTTCAGGTATTTGGTTTTCATTGGTCGTTGGACATAGCATCAAATGGTGGTAATATTTGTAGTGGATGAGGGGTAGCGCGATAATTGAAGAAACGTATATAGTCTTGTTTCCCAAGGTTTTCCATCAATTGGAGCAGTCGTATTGCTTTTTCCAAGGTACGCATAAATCGCTCAACTTCTCCATTAGCTTGTGGCCAGTATGGAGTTATTTTTCTGTGGTAGAATCCTAGGTACTCTGCGAACATTCTAAAATCCGCACCATTGAAGGGAGGACCATTATCTGTTTTAACTTGTTTTGGAACTCCAAACGCAGAAAACATCTTGTCTAACTTCGGGATTGTACTCTTTGAGGACGTCGACTTTAAAATTTCTACCTCGGGGTATCGAGAGTAATCGTCCATTGTCACCAATAGGTAATCTCCAGAAGGGAAGGGACCACAAAAGTCTACTGAAACATTCTGCCACGGACCATCAGGAAGACTTGTCATTTTCAACGGTTCACTGTTCTTAACTTGAGTTGTTGCTTTGCATGGAATGCACTCCGCCACACATTCTTCAACTAGTTCATCGATCCTAGGGAACCATACCTTTTCTCGTAACAATTTCTTTGTTTTTATAATCCCTTGGTGTCCTTCGTGTGCTAACTGAATCACTCTAGATTGTAGGCTTTGTGGAATAACAATTTGTGTCCCTCTTAGGAGAGTATTGCCAGCATTAGCAGTTGCAAGATCTGTTTTAACCTGAGCTAAAGCATTGAAAACGGTCATATTAATATTCTCTGTCGACTTCACGTTGTACCACTTTCCAGTGTTTAGCGCAAGGATTACAGCTTGAAGGGTTGCATCTTCTTTAGTGGCCACCATAATTTCTTCTTGAGTTAGTGCCTTTGGAATAGCGTTCGTGAATACGTAATTAATGTATTCCTCAGCAACCTTTTCTTCCCGTCTACTCAATTGCGTTGTTAGATCAGGATGACGGGAAAGGTAATCAGCTGGGTTGTCTTCACCAGGCTTGTACACAACGGAAAACTCGTACGGCTGAAGTTTCAGGATCCAACGTTCAATCCTCGGTGGTGGTTTGTGAGCTGGGTCATTGAATATCTTGACTAACGGCTTGTGGTCAGTGATGACGGAAAAAGGTTTTCCATAAAGATACAGATGATATTTCTCGCATCCCCACATGATTGCTAAAGCTTCTCTTTCGATTTGTGAGTATCGTTGTTCCACTTCGGAGAGAGCTCGACTAGAGTAACATATAACTCGAGGATCAGCATTTTTTGAACAATCTCTCTGTGTTAAAATTGCACCGATCCCTGTGGGACTTGCATCTACCAGTAACTCGGTTTCCAACGATGGTTGAAAATACGCTAACTTCGTATTACTAGACAATGCTTGTTGTATTTCACTCAGGGACTTCTGACATTCTTCCGTCCAGTGCCATTTTACATCTTTCTTCGTTAGCTCTCGCAGTGGCTTCGCCAAGTTAGCCAGATTAGGGATAAATCGTCCGCAATAGTTCACTAATCCAAGAAAACTTCTAACTTCCTTCGCTGATTTGGGAGCTTCGACATTTCTGATTGCTTCTACCTTTTTAGGGTCAAAATAGATCAAACTAGGCTTATTAAATTCGCAGTTACATTTATTCAGTGTTAAGTTATTCATACGCAGACGCTCGAGAACTTGTTCTAAACGCTTGTCATGTTCTGCCTGAGTTGAACCATACACAATTATGTGATCGCTAATGTTTAACGATCCTGGAACACCCTCGATTACACCCTTTATGGCTTCTTGAAATATTTCAGCAGCAGAATTCACGCCAAAATTAAGACGCTTATAACGCATTAAACCAACATGGGTACTAAATGTTGTAATATAACGAGATTCTGGCGTCAGTTCCAACTGGTGATAACCCTGGTTTAAGTCTTTTGAAAATACTTTAGCTTGCCCAAGTTCTGAGATAATGTCGTCAATGGTTGGAGAGAGATGACGTTCTCGACCTATTGCTTTATTTGGCTGCCTCATGTCTGCACAGATACGTATTTCTTGTGGATTGTGGGGCTTAGGGACAACTACAATGGGGGATACCCATGGCGTGGGGCCTTCAACCCTTTCAATAATATCATCATCTTCATTTCTTTAAGTTTTAGCTCAACTTGTTTTCGTACATGAAAAGGTATTCTTCTATGGGGTTGGGCAACTGGTTTAACCGTTTCATCAATATGTAGCTTAACTTGATGATTTTTCATTTTGCCAATTCCAGAAAATACGCTTTGATATTTGTTTCTAAGCCAAGAATCAACTGAGGGTTTTGTATCTTCTACTTGATTCACCACGGTAACTAACCCTAGTTCATGGGCTGTCTTATAGCAAATCAGAGACCACCCGCTTTAACATTCTTTTTGACTACGTAAAATTCTGTAACAGTCAATTTTCCATTTGTTTCTATAACTGCTTCAAACTTACCCAGGAGCTTCAAAGGAACTTGACTGTCCTACGAAAATATTTTCGTTGACGTTTTCTTTAACTTGACATCTTTGAGGCGTAGGTAGTCGGACTCTTCAATGAGATTGACTGTGGCTCCAGTGTCCACGATAAATTCTATATTTTCTTTGCCAATTGTTACCATTGCGGTTGGATGCACTTTTGTCTTCACATTCGCCCCCACAGTCATAAATACATACTCATCCTCGCTACTCGACGTGCTGTGTTGACTTTTTGTTGCCATTTTGTTCACTCTATGTTGTTGTTTCTTTTTTTGTCCTTTAAAATTCCTGGGTCTTTCCTGCGACTTTCGTTGCCGAAAAACCGCCGCGAAATGATTTTGTTTGTGGCAAGTGTTACATGTTTTTCCCATTGCCAGACATGCACCAGTATGCGGATAATTTCCATTACAGCGGTAGCATTTAGAGCGTGATAAGTGGGTTTTCTTACCTCGAACCTGTTCGTGCATGGTCTTATTAACATAGGCAGTCTCCGTCTCTGAATGTAGTTTTTTCTCCATCCCACGAGCTTGTGTCTCGGACGTTTCAAGCGACCGTCCGTAGTCAATTAATTGTGTAAGAGATATGGCTTCGCGTAATGCCCGCCTTCGTTCGTTGCGACAAACATCCTTGAATGATCTGAGTTTTTTATCTCACGTTCAACGTCGGTAAACTCGCAGGTTCTTGCTAGCTTTCTCAAACGAGTGTGGAATCCATCCATTGTCTTGCCACTCATTTGCTTCGCCTGACGAAACACATGCACCTCGTATTCAATGTTCTTCTTCGGTGAGAAGTATTCGGTTAATAGTTCTACGGCTCTCGAATAATCGTTGTCTTTCCCTTTATCTTTCTCGGGAAAGGTGTCAAAGAGATCAGCTACTTCACAGCCAGCATAGTGGAACAACAGTGCACGCTGTCGTTTCTCATCGTTAATATCCAAAGCGATTAGAAGGTTTTCAAAGCGTTTTAGCCACTTAGTCCAGCGAACGCCCACTGAAGCAATATCTTCATGAGCATTAAATTGCTCCAGATATGGCAGCGTTCTTTCTGCCATCAATCTATCTTATAAACTTGTTCATCCTCGTCGCCAATGTAGTATTCAGAGCACACGAACAGACTGATGTTTCAGTCATATATATATACTAGAAATACATGCATGCAGCAACCCCTCGCCTCGGTTGAACGAAATCAGTTATTAAAGCATAGGGATGGTAACATGATTGTTAGAAAATTTATGTGGGTTGGGGGTTTTGGAGGGTACATGGCACAGAGAGAAAAAGAAATTGAGAAAAGTATGGAAATATTTTTCTGCACGTGGAAACACTGTTGTCATAGCAACTCGCGACGGCCGTATATTTTTAAAGAATCAAAGTTTACCCTCATATTCTTGTAAAAAATCGCAAAAATACGACAAGATTCCTACCTTTTTCTGGAAGTTAAGTCACTCATCTATAGTGTTATGGTAAATTGTTTTAATTATTAATTACCATGAAATATAACATCAGACGTCTCATACAACTTCCGAAGTTTTATGTTACGCTTCAACCGGTTTTTGCCATAGGCAGCCCAATGGCGAATGGTTTTATTTGAAATAAAAGTGCACTAAAACATTGAAAATTAGAACAAAGCTATCCGTATTTTGATTAAATTGAACATGTATCATTTATTCATGCTAACTAAAATCCTGACATCCTGCATATTACGCAACGGGCGACTCGCGTACCTGACAGTGTTCAAGCAATGTAAGCATTATATAGTATATATATATCCTAAGGTAGGCAACTTCAATCCCGATATCGACATGGACACATGCAAACAATCCGAAAATACTTCAATTTATCCCTAAAATTAAGCTAAAATAACAACAGAAATTAAATCTACGATAATTTTACTATATACTGGCCATATTTTAATATTGAAAACAAGTTATGGAAGCAAGAAAATTGCGAAAAGTTTTTGATATTTTACTCATTTTTTGAATGGGACGATGCTGGACCCGCGCTGTTGACTTTGAGAACGTTTGAAAATGACGAATTTGTTATCTCATTGGCTGTTTTTTTGTTCTCAGCTGTTGTGACACGCCAATGAGATAACAAATTCGTCATTTTCAAACGTTCTCAAAGTCAACAGCGCGGGTCCAGCATCGTCCCATTCAAAAAGAGTAAATATCAAAAACTTTTCGCATTTTCTTGCTTCCATAACTTGTTTTCAATATTAAAATATGGCCAGTATATAGTAAATTATCGTAGATTTAATTTCTGTTGTTATTTTAGCTTAATTTTAGGGATAAATTGAAGTATTTTCGGATTGTTTGCATTTGTCCATGTCGATATCGGGATTGAAGTTGCCTACCTTAGGATATATATATACTATATAATGCTTACATTGCCTGAACACTGTCAGGTACGCGAGTCGCCCGTTGCGTAATATGCAGGATGTCAGGATTTTAGTTAGCATGAATAAATGATACATGTTCAATTTAATCAAAATACGGATAGCTTTGTTCTAATTTTCAATGTTTTAGTGCACTTTTATTTCAAATAAAACCATTCGCCATTGGGCTGCTATGGCAAAAACCGGTTGAAGCGTAACATAAAACTTCGGAAGTTGTATGAGACGTCTGATGTTATATTTCATGGTAATTAATAATTAAAACAATTTACCATAACACTATAGATGAGTGACTTAACTTCCAGAAAAAGGTAGGAATCTTGTCGTATTTTTGCGATTTTTTACAAGAATATGAGGGTAAACTTTGATTCTTTAAAAATATACGGCCGTCGCGGAGTTGCTATGACAACAGTGTTTCACGTGCAGAAAAATTTTCCATACTTTTCTCAATTTCTTTTTCTCTCTGTGCCATGTACCCTCCAAAACCCCCAACCCACATAAATTTTAACATCATGTTTACCATCCCTATGCTTTAATAACTGATTTCGTTCAACCGAGGCGAGGGGTTGCTGCATGCATGTATTTCTAGTATATATATATGACTGAAACATCAGTCTGTTCGTGTGCTCTGAATACTACATTGGCGACGAGGATGAACAAGTTTATAAGATAGATTGATGGCAGAAAGAACGCTGCCATATCTGGAGCAATTTAATGCTCATGAAGATATTGCTTCAGTGGGCGTTCGCTGGACTAAGTGGCTAAAACGCTTTGAAAACCTTCTAATCGCTTTGGATATTAACGATGAGAAACGACAGCGTGCACTGTTGTTCCACTATGCTGGCTGTGAAGTAGCTGATCTCTTTGACACCTTTCCCGAGAAAGATAAAGGGAAAGACAACGATTATTCGAGAGCCGTAGAACTATTAACCGAATACTTCTCACCGAAGAAGAACATTGAATACGAGGTGCATGTGTTTCGTCAGGCGAAGCAAATGAGTGGCGAGACAATGGACGGATTCCACACTCGTTTGAGAAAGCTAGCAAGAACCTGCGAGTTTACAGACGTTGAACGTGAGATAAAAACTCAGATCATTCAAGGATGTTTGTCGCAACGAAGGCGGGCATTACGTGAAGCTATATCTCTTACACAATTAATTGACTACGGACGGTCGCTTGAAACGTCCGAGACACAAGCTCGTGGGATGGAAAAAAAACTACATTCAGAGACGGAGACTGGCTATGTTAATAAGACCATGCACGAACAGGTTCGAGATAAGAAAACTCACTTATCACGCTCTAAATGCTATCGCTGTAATGGAAATTATCCGCATACTGGTGTATGTCCGGCAATGGGAAAAACATGTAACACTTGCCACAAACAAAATCATTTCGCAGCGGTTTGTCGGCAACGAAAGTCGCAGGAAAGACCCAGGAATTTTAAAGGACAAAAAAAGAAACAACAACATAGAGTGAACAAAGTGGCAACAAAAAGTCAACACAACACGTCGAGTAGCGAGGATGAGTATGTATTTATGACTGTGGGGGCGAATGTGAAGACAAAAGTGCATCCAACCGCAATGGTAACAATTGGTAAAGAAAATATAGAATTTATCGTGGACACTGGAGCCACAGTCAATCTCATTGAAGAGTCCGACTACCTGCGCCTTAAAGATGTCAAGTTAAAGAAAACGTCAACGAAAATATTTCCGTATGACAGTCAAGTTCCTTTGAAGCTCCTGGGTAAGTTTGAAGCAGTTATAGAAACAAATGGAAAATTGACTGTTACAGAATTTTACGTAGTCAAAAAGAATGTTAAAGCGGGTGGGTCTCTGATTTGCTATAAGACAGCCCATGAACTAGGGTTAGTTACCGTGGTGAATCAAGTAGAAGATATAAAACCCTCAGTTGATTCTTGGCTTAGAAACAAGTATCAAAGTGTGTTCTCTGGAATTGGCAAAATGAAAAATCATCAAGTTAAGCTACATATTGATGAAACGGTTAAACCAGTTGCCCAACCCCATAGAAGAATACCTTTTCATGTACGAAAACAAGTTGAGCTAAAACTTAAAGAAATGGAAGATGATGATATTATTGAAAGGGTTGAAGGTCCCACGCCGTGGGTATCCCCCATTGTAGTTGTCCCTAAGCCCCACAATCCACAAGAAATACGTATATGTGTAGACATGAGGCAGCCAAATAAAGCAATAGGTCGAGAACGTCATCTCTCTCCAACCATTGACGACATCATTTCAGAACTTGGGCAAGCTAAAGTATTTTCAAAATTAGACTTAAACCAGGGTTATCACCAGTTGGAATTGGCGCCAGAGTCTCGTTATATTACAACATTTAGTACCCATGTTGGTTTAATGCGTTATAAGCGTCTTAATTTTGGCGTAAATTCTGCTGCTGAAATATTTCAAGAAGCCATAAAGGGTGTAATCGAGGGTGTTCCAGGATCGTTAAACATTAGCGATGACATAATTGTGTATGGTTCAACTCAGGCAGAACATGACAAGCGTTTAGAACAAGTTCTCGAGCGTCTGCGCATGAATAACTTAACACTGAATAAATCGAAGTGTGAATTTAATAAGCCTAGTTTGATCTATTTCGGCTACACCTTTTCCGGGGATGGTGTTTTGCCTGACCCTAAAAAGGTAGAAGCAATCAGAAATGTCGAAGCTCCCAAATCAGCGAAGGAAGTTAGAAGTTTTCTTGGATTAGTGAACTATTGCGGACGATTTATCCCCAATCTGGCTAACTTGGCGAAGCCACTGCGAGAGCTAACGAAGAAAGATGTAAAATGGCACTGGACGGAAGAATGTCAGAAGTCCCTGAGTGAAATACAACAAGCATTGTCTAGTAATACGAAGTTAGCGTATTTTCAACCATCGTTGGAAACCGAGTTACTGGTAGATGCAAGTCCCACAGGGATCGGTGCAATTTTAACACAGAGAGATTGTTCAAAAAATGCTGATCCTCGAGTTATATGTTATTCTAGTCGAGCTCTCTCCGAAGTGGAACAACGATACTCGCAAATCGAAAGAGAAGCTCTGGCAATCATGTGGGGATGCGAGAAATATCATCTGTATCTTTATGGAAAACCTTTTTCCGTCATCACTGACCACAAGCCGTTAGTCAAGATATTCAATGACCCAGCTCACAAACCACCACCGAGGATTGAACGTTGGATCCTGAAACTTCAGCCGTACGAGTTTTCCGTTGTGTACAAGCCTGGTGAAGACAACCCAGCTGATTACCTTTCCCGTCACCCTGATCTAACAACGAAATTGAGTAGACGAGAAGAAAAGGTTGCTGAGGAATACATTAACTACGTATTCACGAACGCTATTCCAAAAGCACTAACTCAAGAAGAAATTATGGTGGCCACTAAAGAAGATGCAACCCTTCAAGCTGTAATCCTTGCGCTAAACACTGGAAAGTGGTACAACGTGAAGTCGACAGAGAATATTAATATGACCGTTTTCAATGCTTTAGCTCGGGTTAAAACAGATCTTGCAACTGCTAATGCTGGCAATACTCTCCTAAGAGGGACACGAATTGTTATTCCACAGAGCCTGCAATCTAGAGTGATTCGGTTAGCACACGAAGGACACCAAGGGATTATAAAAACAAAGAAATTGTTACGAGAAAAGGTATGGTTCCCTAGAATCGATGAACTAGTTGAAAAGTGTGTGGCGGAGTGCATTCCATGCCAAGCAACAACTCAAGTTAAGAACAGTGAACCGTTGAAAATGACAAGTCTCCCTGATGGTCCGTGGCAGAATGTTTCAGTAGACTTTTGTGGTCCTTTCCCTTCTGGAGATTATCCATTGGTGACAATGGACGATTACTCTCGATACCCGAGGTAGAAATTTAAAGTCGACGTCCTCAAAGAGTACAATCCCGAAGTTAGACAAGATGTTTTCTGCGTTTGGAGTTCCAAAACAAGTTAAAACAGATAATGGTCCCCTCCTTTCAATGGTGCGGGTTTTAGAATGTTCGCAGAGTACCTAGGATTCTACCACAGAAAAATAACTCCATACTGGCCACAAGCTAATGGAGAAGTTGAGCGATTTATGCGTACCTTGGAAAAGCAATACGAACTGCTCAATTGATGGAAAACCTTGGAAACAAGAAACTTATACGTTTCTTCGAAATTATCGCGCTACCCCTCATTCCACTACAAATATACCACCATTTGATGCTATGTTCCAACGACCAATGAAAACCAAATTACCTGAATACCCAGCAACAAAAAACAGTCGACACAAAAAAGCCTGAATTGCATAGAAAAGCTGAATTACAAATTAATGATGATAAAGCGAAGATCGAGATGAAATTGTATGCTAACCAACAAAGGCATTCTAAACCTTCAAAGATAGAGAAAGGTGATGTTGTGTTGGTGAGAAATCAGAAACGAGGTAAATTGCAACCTCCCTTCCAACCTGGTCCGTACCAAGTCATAAGGAAAAAAAGGGTTCTATGCTGACTGTTCAAAGAGGAAATCTTCAGGTTACTCGAAACTCGTCTTTTTTTAGGAAGATTAAACTGGAGACAAAACGTGGAGAAAATAGTCCAGAAGAAGAAATAAATGATGATTCAGATGATGAATCATTGTGTGGAGAAGCCCCTAAACAAAAAATACGATGCAGTCAAACACTAAGGTATCAGCCCCAAATAACGAACAGTTGTTGAGGAGATCCTCTCGGATTCGAAATCCCCGAAACATTTAGACGATTACGTTTGGACATTAGAAATTTAGTATAAGACGAATTCTTAATAAAAGATACCTAATCAAACAGTTAGAGTAAAAGTAGAGTAATTAGCGTGGAAAAAAACCAACAATAAAAAAAAATTAGTTAGAATTCTTTTGAACCTTTAAGAATAAATATATAATTTAAGGTTGAGACAATTACTGACTTGGGGAGGAATGTAGTATAGTTGATTAAGTAATGAATAATGTCTTATGAATAATAATTAGTTATGCATGGTTTAGAAGACTATAAATACAAGCTGTAAAACATTTTAAGATATCATATATGATTATATGAAACATCAGTCTGTTGGTGTGTTTGCTCTGAATACTACAGACTCTTGCTCATTTCTTTTTTAATTGACCAAATTTGAATGGAATAAGCATGACCATCATCACTTTCTCAGGTCGTTGACTTTTTTTCAACTCTATGCTCCCCATCTTTAATGTTATTACACGAATGACCATATAAATTCATGCCTCTATTTTCATAATATGATAAAAAGCAAAGATAATTTTCAAACAAAAATTTTCCATAATCCTTTTGCTGTTCATACTTTAAAACAGATGTTAAATTTCGCATATCGAAAACATATCTATTTTTCAATTCTGACTTTACTAACAAATGTGTTAAGCGAATTAAGCCTGGAATTTGAATGCAGGTTTCCTTTGGAAAACTTGAAAAATTATCAGCAAAAAAAATTTGAAAAATTTTAATTGTTCCATCTAAAGGAAAAGCATATGAATCCAAATTTTCATCAAAAATGTATTTTGAAATAGGTTTAATCGATATAACTTTTTCAATATGTTCGTTTGAAAAAATATGAAAGGGAAAAAACATAACGCATTTTTTAAAATTTTTATAACTGCAAACAAAAACAAACTGAAACTCTTCATAATTTTCAATTTTATTTATCCAATATTCAAAATTTCCAACTTGAGTAAATGATACAAATCCTTGAACTTCGTTACTTCTTTGAATTTCACGAACTTTTCTTTCAAAATCATCCTCTTTCCGCCCAAAATAAAAGGGTAATGCATAAACACAAAGATCAAAACAATGACGCAATTGCTTTTTTTTCATATATTTATCCAATGGTTTCAAATAAATTAATGCAGGATCAGCTAACTTTATACATGCATTTCCACTCATTTCTCCTCAAAATGTATACCTGGACAATCAAGCACCTTGAATATATAACCCTTTTACCTTTTCAAATTTATCAACCCTTTGAAGTTCATTAAATACAAATAAAGTAAAACAATAAACCTCAAATCGAGAACAGTGAAATGGTAATCCTCGAGAACTTTTTCCATGACGAAAACATGATTTACTTTTCATTTCAAAAATTTGTAATTGCTTTTCATATTTTGCACAACCAAACAGTTCAAGATTAATGCATTCAAGAGAATAATAAGAACATAAATCCTTTTCAATATGCCCACCCTTAAAAGCAAAAACAAATGTATTATCTGAAAAATTCCGTTTAAAAATATTATGAAATTCATGCTGAGTAATATCAGAATAAGAATACTTTTTTCTCAAAAATGGTAAACCATGTATTCTGTTTGAAACATATGAAACTGATGAGAAATCATGATCACTCAAAAAAACACCAGGGTGATAAACATAATAAGTATGACAAATCATATCACGAACAGAAAAAATTGGAGCAGTTGATGGTACCCACATACCAATCATGCAGCCATACATTAATTCACAAGATTATTTTTCTTATAAAATGAAATACACAATAAATGTTCAAGGAGTGTGCGATTACAAGGGTCAATTCATAGATGTAGATATAAGGTGGCCTGGAGCAACTCATGATGCAAAAGTGTTTTCATACAGCAGTATCAATACTGTCTTGCAAAAACAAAATCTACCATATGTCAGGAAAACATTATTACCTGGAAGGAATGACATTGGACCTCTGTTACTCGGAGATCCAGCATGGCCTCTTTTGCCACATGTCATGAAAGAATATGGCACATGTACAAGTGATGCACAAGTTATTTTCAACCAGATGCTCAGAGATGCTAGAAATGCAATAGAATGTGCATATGGTAGACTGAAGGCAAGGTGCCAAATATTAACGATGCCAATCACATTCAAGTAAGAAGATGTTCCACTTATTGTTTTGTCATGTTTTGTTCTGCACAATTGGTGTGAGCAACATAAAGTTTCAATAGATGACAATGTATTACAACGACAAATTCAACAAAACCGATTGATGCAGTCAACATTAATAGACAGAAGATTTACTTGTTCTTTAGCTGAGGGAAAGGCAGTTAGAGATATTATAAAAGACTACTTTAATGAACACATGAAATTTCAGGTATGTTGTAAAAATGTTATTACTAAATATTAGGGTTCAAATTCTTTTTTTTTGCTTCTATTATTTTTACCATACAACTAACTACCAACAAATTAAAAGATTTATATTTATTCTTCAAAGACAGGTATTGGGTTTTTACTTGCAGCCTTTGACGTTCTAAAAGCTCACACTGGAAGCAAAATATCACACGTGCCATCAAAAAGGTGGACACGAGAAAACTAGTACAGCGATTTGTGTTACCTGCTACAGTGCGAAAAGAAGATGCACACTTGGTTGTTTCAACAAATCTACAATTGAACGTCACCAGAAAAATGTACACCAATATGGAGAACAAATCGATGTTATATCGGTTGAAGATCCTAGGGCTTTGCCTATTCTCAAAGTGTTAAAATCAGCGTCCGCAAAAAAGTGAGCGTTAAGCAATTAATTTTATTTCATCTTAGAACCATTGATTTATTCTATTCATTGTTTATGAAAATTTGCCTCATTTACGTTACATTTTTGTAGGCCTCATATCGCGCCTGAATCAAGGAAGCGACAACATCCCGATAACACAATCAGTTCCTCAACTCAATCAAAACGCCCTCGCCTGGATCATTCATCGACATTGTCCGCTTCGCTTGAAGAGACAACTCATTCCTGCAACATCAAAATAAGAAGTGAAACAGAGTCAGAAAAAGATGCCAAGGATAATGTGCAGGTCGCTGCTGTGGCCGACTGTGCACTGGTTTCTGAAGATAAAACTTCCAAACTGCTCGCCAAAGGTAAAGATCAAGAGACAGTCGACTTAACCAGTGACAATGTAGGAAGCGCAACTCGTCAGTCATCCCTGGATTCATTCATGAATTTGAGGCAAAAGGAGGTATTAACTGCAGATGCCAAAATGATGAACTAGTTAAGAAAGTTGACGAAGTTTTAATGTTGGTTTCTGCTGGGGGACATTCAAGACAACCGCCTAATACTAAGGGCCTGTTTACATGAATCCGGATTGACTTTCAATCCGGATCGAAATGTTAAGTCAATCCGTGTTTACATGGAAAATGGGTTAGAGGATTGGAATTTACGCGGGAAATTCAATTCCAGGATGGCGATAATAGCAGCAGTTTTCTTGTCAGCTCTTTCAGCACTTGTACACCTTAATACATGCATGAAGCTACTCATTTTGCAAAGAATCATTTTGAGAAAGAGAAAGGTTGGCATGTTATGTTTGATGAGGAATACAATTGCACGAAAGCATGAAATAGTGAGACGAACAATAATACATAAGCGAAAACGATTTTGGATAAAACCCGGTAGGACAGATGTCTGGTGGAAAAATATGATTGAAGGTATTTGTATTCAGGAAGAATGGCATAAAAACTTTAGAATGTCAAAGCAGAATTTTATGGAGTTGGTGGACGAACTTCGACCTTATATTTCACCGTCAGTTAATGCACCAAGACCAAGTATTTCAGCTGAGAAAAAGGTTAGGAAATGTATATATGCTCGTATATTAGGTGTTATAGTTTTAAATGTATAATAATATATAGTGAAACCATTTATTGCGCTTTCAACAACAGAGACCATGGACATCAAAATAACAATGCGTATGAAAAATTGTTTGAGTTTAAAGCCCCCACCTTTGCTTCTAATTATACAAATGTGGTATGCAATTTTTTTTTGGCTGAAAATGTCTGATTCCCCTCTTTTTTAATTAATGACCAATCCCTAAGTTTTGTATTTTCCTTACTTATATGTCTATTAAACTATTTGAATCATGACTTATTGATACATAGCA